CTTTTTTTTGTGGCTTTTTGGCTCCCTTCCCTCCTTCCTCTCTATGTGCCACATCAGATGACTTAAAACATACTGTCCTATGAAATTCCATTTTTACCCTTTGACAAGGTCTCTTCATCTTCTTCCTTCTCCCCTGACTGTCGATTCCTCTCCCTTTCTTCTAACTCCCTCCCCTACTTCGACTTAGGGCTCCAGCCCTTCCCCTATTCCTCTGCTACTCTGGTCTGATTGAAACTCCTCCAACCTAAGAACGTGAAATCATCACCTTCGACCAGAATCCTCAGGTCATACACTTCACCTGCGAACTTCAGATTCACCTGAATAGGGACGTCTGAAACTTCCTCCACCGCTACTATAATTTTTGCCAAATCTAGCTTGTCCCAGGATCTATTCCTATCATCGAATTGCAGGAATTCCCTACAGTGGTTTCCTATTGCCTCAAAAGTCGTTATACTCCAAGCATGCAAAGGGATACCAGCCACATCGATCCATACAGCCCTTCTCTTTCTTTGATATGATAGAGCTCTTGCCGCCAGGAACCACCAGTCAAGTCTGAGATCGAACTCCCTCTCCTTCGCTCTCTCTTAATTCATAACAAGCCCCACCTTCTCCTTGCTGTGAAACATAAACAGAAATAATCCCCCATTTAGCTTCCTCACTTCCATTAGCTTCTACTTCCCTCACTCTATCATCACCCATGCTTCAACCTTCTCCACTTCTATGTCTATGCCGACAAATCTACCCACCAAACTTGCTTCCAACACCTGCATTCTCTCAGCCATCTTCCCTAGCCCTCGTACGCCCACCTCAATCATCCTCTCCATTGTCGAGACCTAACCTTCAGCCATCATCCTCAACTATGTCTATCGCCCAGTGGTGCTTGATATTTTGAAAAGATATTTTCTACTTGGACTATAGATATTATATTTGTATTATATATTATACAATGTACATAATAAATTATATATTTTAATATATAATATAATACAATATAATATATTTTATACATATTATATGTGTATTATATGTTAATATATATACATATATATATTTTAGATAATAAAATTTGGTTTTTTCGGTTAACCGAATTTCTAAACCTGAAACCTCAGCCGAACCCAAAATTTTACAAAACCGAAATAACCGAACTGAAATAACCAAAAACCAAACTGAAATTTCAGTTCAGTTTTTTTGTTTTAACTTCGGCTAAGTTTTTTGGTTTTAACCAAATAATGCTCACCCCTATCTAGGACACCTCCAGCTCCAGTATTCCCTAGTTGAAGGTGTCCAATCACAAAAGGGCATCTTTCTCTCTTAGAGGAAATATGTCCTAGATCTTCTACAAGATATTGGTAAACTAGAGGCAAAGTCAATTGATACCCCTATTGATGTTAATCATAGATTGGGAGATTGTGATGGAGAACCATTGAGGGATATGAAGCAATGGTTGGTAGGAAGGCTATTGTACCTTTCTAAGACTCAACCTAACATTGCCTATGTCATGGGAGTTCTTAGTCAATTTATGCATTCACCCAAGGTTCTTCACCTAGAAGCTGCAAAGAGGGTACTCAGGTACTTAAAGCAATGTCCAGGAACTGGCTTGTTGTTTAGGAAACATAATCATCCGGAGGTAGAGGTTTACACGAATGAACTTGGTATGAGATGTGGATGATAGAAAATCCAGCAGTGAGTATTGTACGTTCGTGGGAGGAAACCTGGTGGCATGGAGCAGTAAGAAACAAAGTGTTGCTGCAAGATCAACTGCTGAGGCCAAATATTGGGTTATGGCCCAGTGAGTGGCTGAAGGACTTTGGAACTCAGGTTTCAGGTTTCAAGTTAACAACCCTATGTCTCTATAGTGTGACAACAAAGCAAACATAAATATTGCTACCAATCCTGTCCTCCATGATAGGAGGAAACATATTAAAGTTGACAAGCACAAGAGTGAAGTTTGTGCTCCTTATGTTAGTTCAAAGCAACAACTTGTTGATGTTCTTACAAAGGCTCTTCCCTATTTGCGGCACAATGAACTATGTAACAAGTTGGGCATGATCAATATACACAGCCCAACTTGAGGGGGAGTGTTGAGTTTTTATACATTTTTTATGATAGTATGTGCCACAAGGGCACTCTTGTAATTTCAATTTTCTTTACGTCCCAAAGTCACTTAAGTATAAATAATACAAGGGGCACCACCAGCCTTGATTTTGCCTCTCAACCTATCTTCCTTCTCTTCGGTTCGCTTGCCTCTTCCTCTTCTCCTTACTAATTCTTTGGTGAAGAATACATCTCTAGGGAACTAAACACAGTAGTCGATGGATTAGCTAAGTCAGGTTTCATAGAAATGAATTGTATAGTGACAATACACTACCTATGTAATTTTCAGGGCAGTCTCTTGGATCCTTTCTCTGTACATCATCTCATGTACCTCTGTTTTGATCACTTCCTAGTCTTATCATGGCTACCAAAACCTTCCTAGCTTTCCTGAAATCAATTTCAACACTTTATCTGATTTTTTTATCAATAACTGAAACTTTTATTAAAGAAAATTAAGGAGAAAACACAACAGAAGTTAGGGGGAGAGGTAAACTCTCTTAACCATCCCCAACATGAAAAGCAAACTCAAAATTACAACACAGCTTAGAACAATTGATCCCTTTCCACCACTTGTCTAGCAAGATTATCAACAAAGGAGTTGGCACGTCTCTTTACCCACTGCAGTTTAATCTCCATACCCTGGGTCAGCTATTTAAACTTCCTTTTTTTCATTGGCAAAATTTCCACACTTTATTAGATTTTCATCCTTGGATTCGTTATGGGAGTTAGCATCTTCTCTTGTGCTTCTTTCTTCGAAACAATGCTCCCACCTTGTCCTCCTAAAAAGGGATTTCCCAGTTATATATGGTTTAGACCAACTTCACCCAAGATTAGGACTTTCAATTGGAAAGTATTTCATCAAAAGGCCAACGCTTGTGAGGTCTTTAAAAATATATGTTTGGACCAAGCAAAGGATAGGTTGGGGAAGAGGACAAAGGAAGTTGCGATAGGGATTGGCAATGCTGAATCTGGAATGGTTTCAGAAGATAACGGTGGAGGAAAAGAGGATAACGACGCGGCTGTTTGCAAATCTTCCCAGGTAGAGTGCTCTGATGCCATTCACAGTCCTTTTCAGGAAGTGGTGATTGGAAAGTTAGGTGTGGATTTAGGTAGGAGGAGGGCGACAGAGAATGATGTGGGATGAGGATATTGACAGATAGGAGGAAGTGTTCGAAGGGGAGGATTAGGACTTGGTTGCCTGGGTCCTGTGTGGTCTCGGAGCTTGTGGAGGTGTCCGGAAGTGGTGCTTTTGGGTCTTCGTTTTGTTGATTGTCTTTAGTCTTGTGTTGTTGGTTGTAAGTTTGTATTGGCATCTGGTGTCTTGTTATCTCTCTTAGGTGTTTTCTTATCACCTTCCTTTTGTATTCTCTTCTTCTTTCAATGAATTTCTCTTTATATATATATATATATTGGACCAAGTGACCAACCAGTTAGAAATATACGGTGGCCCACCCCACCAAAGATTAGGGCTTTCTATTGGGATGTGGTCCACCAAAAGATTAACACTTGTTAGCCCTTTTCAAATAGGAGACCCACTTGGTGTCCCCCTCATTTGTGCTTTTTATGTTGGTCAAGTGGTGAAACTAGTCAATACTTACTAATCTCCTGCCCCTTGCTTCTGGTGGTATTTGGGAGTATTTTCCTTAACCTTCTCAGTTGCAGGTGGTCCCCTCCTAAAACTAGAAGGGGGAAGATGTTGTGGAGATGCACCAGATCTGCCATCCTTCAATCAATTTACAGTTGAAGCCTTGATTGAGAATATTGCTGTTAATGACCCACTGGGTCAAAGGGGCTGGCAACAGATTGCAAACCCATCCTCTTCCAGAACTTCAACAGTTAGAATTTGGTTACCTCCACCATTAAGGTGCATTAAACGGAATTTTGACAGTTGTAACCTGGGCAAACCTATTATGGCAGGAGTAGGGAGTATTTTAAGGAATCATGAAGGGGTAGTATTGACAATTTATTCTGGCTCAATAAGTCAATGCAACTCAATTAAGGCATAGATGATGTCATTGTTGCATGGGCTTAAGTTAGGGAAGACACTAAACTATACTGATCTCATAGTGAAGGGTGATTGATATACTACATTGGGTGGATGAAGAACAAGAGTCAAGAACCTTGGTGCTACAAGCACATTATGATAGAGGTAACTTGCCTGGCAAGGGATCTGAGAACCACTTTCAGTTGGATAAGAAGAATAGCCAATGATATGGCAGATGCACTGGCAAGACAACGGGCCAGGTTAGGGAAGACATTAAACAATACTGATTTCATCCAACAGGGAACAAGAGAGCTTTGTACTCTAATCAACAAAAAAAGGGTAATGTGGGGAAGGGAGTTTAGCACCCTCATGTAACTTCAGGGTGTTTGACACAGTCTATCCTGTAAAATCTATTATTCTTTTTTCCAACAAATTAATAATTTTTTTAAAGTTATCTGTCAAAAAAAGATGATATTTGTTGATTGAAATTATAAACATTAACCCTTGAAATGTCTATCTGAAGACAGTTGAATAAATGCAGGATCAATAGAACAGTTAGAATTACATTTGGTTTTCCACAACAGTATGGTCTTTATGTCCTAAAATGGCACAACAGCAATATTAAAAAATAAAATGCCTGGATCCGCTTTTAGGAACCCAAACCAACTATTTATTCCATACCAAAAAAAAGTTCCAACTCCGCATGCTATTATTATATTAATTTCTACTTTAGAAATAGATATTACAGAACAACTAAAAGATTTGATCAAATTAGAAAATAAGCAAAGAAGAACAAAAGAAAGACTTATCTTACTCATTAGCTACTCCTGCCACCACAATCATGTATACTAGACATAATATTGAAATGCATTTAGGAATTTGCAAATCAAAAATCTTAATTACAAAAATTGCATTTGAAAACCTTGAGGAGTATTTTGGCGAACAACTTTTAGACTATAATGGAAATAAGAACCGATGAGCACAAAAACAGGTGATGGAGGTTCAAGTGACATTGCTTCTGCAACAGTTAAAACAATCTCATCCACCATGTATTCAAACTGTGGTTCTAGCAAATGCACTGAAACAATTTCATGGCCAATTCCAGTTCCCTTTACAACAAACAAGTCTGAGAATACACCCTGCATCATATAGAAAAAGAAAAAAATATTATGTATATTAGATAATTTGGGTGGGTGCGATTGAAATATTGGCATTTTATCATTTGCTAGCATTAGCAGCATACATACACTGTCTTCCAGTTTTATTTGGATATCTAGGTCACCGCAAAAACCACCACAGTCACTCAAGGGAGAATCCTTCAAAGCAACATGAGTAAGATGATGCTGCACTCTATCAGCTTCAGGAATAAGCTTCCACATGAACTGTAGGCCTACCAATGATGAAAACACATTTTCTGCAATACAAATCAAAACAGAATATATTAATAGAAGAAAGATAAATATTTGGTAAAAAAACAAACAGAATTGACATGTTAAAGTTTGTAGGCAGTTAATGAAAACTCAGACATGAAGCAACCAATGCACAGGTAAGATAATATAAATACTCATTTTAGATGCTTACCCATGCACAAATTAGATACATGAAATAATATGTCATGTGCAGAAGTCAGACACATCCATCCATTAAGATAAGGTGGCATGAATACTAAAGAACAAGCAACTACAAATTTTAAATTCCATCCTCTTTAGAATTTTCCGCAGTCCTGTTACATTATTTATGTTTTACATATTAGAACTTTACATGTTTAGCTTCATAAACATGAAAAGTATATTCATTTATCTAGGCGACAACATGCAACTCTCTTATGTTGCATAGGACCTATAGTTTTGTTCAATAACATCCACATTTAGAAAGGTGTAACTGGGGTGAAGATGGTGAATTAGGGGAACATCTTGGAAGTTAATAAATTTCAATTTTGTAATGCTTCATGAAGAAAAGTTGTAAAAGCACATAATTAAAAATAATACTAATAGAAATTTGTGCAAGGCAGACTGCAGAAGATCCCTATTCTCTAGCACCAAGTTCCATCAAAGAATGCAAACTAAAAAATGATAATAGGAACCAAAAGCCATATAATTAGAAAGAAAAATAAAGCCAGTGATCTCACTAAACTAAAAGGATACCTTCACTATCAAAGGCGCGGACACGCAGTGTAGCAAGCCCATCTAAGTCAAGTTTAATAGAGTTATGAAATATCTGGATTCTGGAGATGTTATCAATAAAAACTTTGCAACGGATTACAGTGCCACTATGGAGATCAGCAGCATAAACAGCAGTTTCCTTTCTACCACCATAAGGAGCAATTGATCTCAATCGAGCGCTTGTTGAGCAGCGACTACTAGCATTGTACTCTGGTTGAACAGATAGAATATCATGATGGTCCCATGACCTGTTGCATCCACGAGATTTCTAATCAGTTAACAAAATTAATTAAAAGCATGCCCGTAACTCTGCCAGTGTGTGCTTGTCTAACACTGCCAGTTCCATGCCTGGATTAATGAGGAGGGTTGCGTCATGTTGGCAGCAGGCATTAAAACTTTTGCCAAATGATAGTTGACCTCGTATAGTTGGGATAAGACTTAGATGATGATGATAATGACATAGCAATTAGTTTTCAGTATATAAATGCACATATTTATCAATGTTTTGAAAACCAGAATGGGCCAGTTGGTTGAACCTAGTTAATAAAAGAACCAACTCACCAAGTTCCTTTTCCAGGTCATTGAAAACCCATGAACGACTGGACTCTGCATAGGTTCAACGGCCAATTGACCCCCCCCCCCACACACACACACAAAATGGTAACCAGAGCCCTGATAGTTAAGTGCCTTGCATTTGAAGGGATATGTTACAAAGCAAAACAGGGTCCAATTGAGGGTGGCAGAGCTCCCAGTACAAACCAAATTGGAATTTGACCATATGTCATCCATAGAGGGGCATTTTTAGTATTTGAATAAATTACGAAAGCAGAAAGGAACCTTGTTCAGTGATAAAAAAAAACTAAGCCATTTTCTAGGGGTTCAAATGTTAGCAGAAAACGAAATTTGGTTGATTTCATTTCAAGGTGTCTCCCAAGAGGAAACACATGGTGCTTAGCACTATGGAGTAAGGGATTGCCATTTCTAGAACCTTAAAGAAAGGCATCATAATGGAACAAACACTGAGGAAATGCATGACATTGTCAAACTTGGACCTCCTATTTTGGTCCAATAACACAAATGGGTGATAGTCGAACAGCTGTTTGAGTTCTAAACACGACAGTGCAGTCATTACATAGTAAATTTTGAGGTGAAAAAAGATACCGAAACATGAATACAAATAATGATTATAGCAATTGAATTAACACTGGGGAAATGCATAACAATGTCCAACTTGGATACCCTCTTTTGATCCACTAACACAAAGGGTAATAGTCGGATATCTGTTTGAGTTCTAAACACGAAAATGTAGTCATTTAATATGAAGAAAGATATTAAAATATAAATCGAAACAATGATCAAGCATACCAAGAGAAACAGCCATCACTTCCTTGTAGCCGATATTCTACAGGATAAGTCATCAGAGGAGGCAATAAAATATTCACATCAGCTACATGGGGGCCGGAAACTGCCTGCAATGCTGGCAAATTTACGAACAGTAACAGCACGGTCAACCACGCGAGCGAAAGCATCTTGAAGCTCTCTCGGAACCTGCCGACTCAAACGAAACAGAAGGGGGAGAAAGGGTTCAACATAGCAGAGGTTGGAGAACAAACGACTGGCTATCTATCAGTGAAGAGTGAAGTTGTATGTATTGAAGTGGCTAAGAAATAAAAGCCCTAGTTACGCTCACTTTGGGAGGGGGAGTTAGTGGGTACTTGGTGGACTGAAGTCACTGAACTGCCTCTGGCTTTCCACACACTGAGCAACCGCGGGAAACCAGATTGATTAATTTAAGGATTGTCGTGGGAAATCTGTGCTTAGTTCGAAATCAAATGTACTGGTTTGTCCCTCGTCCCCGAGTGTTTGATGTCAGTTGGCGATTGGCATCTCACACTATCGACTGATTATTGTCTCACTCATTTTCCTTTTTCTACCGAAAAATAAAATCATAACAAAATGCAGAATGGCTCTAAAAAGGATGTGCTGATCCCCGCCGTGTCCCGAAAATAGTACCAGTCCCGATGGGCGTTGTGGGGCGGAGATGTGATATCACTAAAAAGTAACAGTAACGATAAAAGAAGTGATTCCTTTCGGGTTGGTTTCCTCACCTTCCTAGTTTCCTGCTTTCCTTTTTTTTTTCTTTTTATCTTTTACATCGTCTATACGCGACAAAAGAACGCCAGAATTGATTAATTACAGATATCTTACCTGAAGTTTTGATAATAACAGATAACACACCCCGCATTTCTTAAATTTGTTTATTAACCCAAAATTTTGTTTGATTTGATAGAAAAATAAGAATGAAATGTAAATACGACTGTAAACTTTTATATTTTGTTCTTTCTTATAAATTGTATCTGGGTCAACTTTTTCTTGATTTTTTGATTGGTTTTCGTGATTGACCTTGCTGTCAATTTTCTATACTTGTATCAATTTTTTGATTGAATAAAATATGTTTTAAGTCTTCAAAAATAAGGTCCGTTCATTTTATGATAAATTATAGCTGTTTCGTATATAAATTACATAATTAATTATTCTGTCTATAAATTTCATCATTAAAATATATAATTTTGTCTAATGATGTTTTGTCAACTTTTTCCTCACGTGAAATCCATTGGGTGGTAGCCTAATAGGTATACTTATGGACTTTTTTTTTTTGAAGAGTAAAAGATTATATTAACAAGGAGAACAAAAAACAAAGTTTTGTTCAGGAGGAAAAAAAGAAGGGTACTCATAACATACAAAAGATTCCTGCTGTAACGTTTTGGCTAACTTGGCTATTTGATGAGCAGGAATATTGTACATCCTTTTTGAAGAAAATTAACTGATAAGTTTCAAAAGAAAGCAGTAAATTTTTTGTCTCTATTAAGAGGCTTAAAAGAGAACAATGTAAAGAAGAGCAATCTTGAAGAGCTTGAATAACTGCTTTGGAATCAGAACAGAGCAAAATGTGGCATCTCCTTAACGATTGGGCAATGGAAAGTCCTTTATGGATAGTAAAAAGTTCCGCTTCTTCAACTGACTTTAAACTTCTTCTTCCTCCTGCAATTTGCAAGCAAGATAACTGTGTGAATCAAGTAGAATAACACCATAAGAATAATAAATTTGATTAATTTTCCCTGCATCAGTAAAGACGATATGATCAATATTCTGAGTAGTCTTTAGGCAGAACTGTGGAGGAAGATCAGGAATTGTGTTTAAGTAAGAAGAAGAAATGTTATGAAAGATACTATTAGTTTTCCAGATTATACAATGATTGGAAATAGTATGGTTTCTGAAAATACATTCATTTCGAGCAAACCATATATAATAAAGAGAAATGGCATACCAATCAAGAATTTGTTTAAGGAGATGTTTATCAGGAATTTTATGCATAAGATCCAAAATGCCTTCAGACCAAGAATTATAAGGGGAGTTAGGATTTAAGATATTTGAAGGAGTGGCAAAAATAATTGATTTAGTAAAAGGACAAGTTAAAAATAAATGTTGAATAGTTTCACTTTCTGTTTGACAGAAGCTACAAGATTGATCTTTGAACGAAGAGAACAGTTTCTCTTTAATTGGAATGAAATTGATGATGATTCGCCAGAAAAAAGGAGTTTAAACCTATGGGGACAATTCAAATGCCAAATAATAAGATTGGGGGAGTTTGTTTGATTGACATAATGAGGGATACCACCCTGCAGGAGATCTGAATGAGCTATTGAATTTTTGAATTTTCCTGAGAAATGTTTTGTCCAGATCCATTGATTTGTTGTATTATCAGGAAGGATGGAAGTGTTGAGAATTGCAGAGACTTTGTTAGAATCAAAACTGTTTTGGATTAAGGGAATGTTCCAATGACCATTAATGATTAAATCAGCAAATGATAAGTTGCAAAAATGAGCTGGGATAGGCTGATTTAGAAATGAAAAGTTGTTTCCATTTTGGATCCAACTATAGAAGGTGATATTTACATCAGAATTATTGGTTGCAAGGAACCCGACTTCTTGTGATAGATCTTGAAGCTTAGGATCAACTGATTTCCAAAAGAAGGAACTGGATTTAGGTATGGAGTAAGGAAAAGGAGTATTAGAAGACAAGTATTTGGACTTCCAAATTTGGGCCCACCGTTTTTTAGGTTCACTCAAAAAACGCCAAGCAAGTTTTTTGAGGAAAGTGACATTTACTATCTTGGTTTTTCGAAAACCTATACCACTAAGAGATTTTGGGAGGGCCAGTTTGTCCCAAGGACCCTAGTGATAGGGATGAGAGTTATTTTCGGTTTTACCCCACCAAAAATTTTTAATTATTTGATCAATACATTCGATTGTTTTTTGGGGTAGTTGAGAAACTGTCATGACATGGGAAGGGATAGCTTGAAGAACATATTGGATAAGAACTAATTTCCCAGCCTAAACTAATAGAGGAATCTTTCCAATTATGAAGTTTACTTTTCAAATTATCCAAAATAAAGGAAAGCTATGAATGTTTATTTCTTCCCCAAATGAGAGGGAGACCTAGATACTTCAAATTGTCAGGAATATTCCCAATGTGGAGTTGTCTTCGGATCATTCTCTAATGTCTTGGATGGGTATTCTTACTAAAGTATATCCCTGATTTATTTAGGTTAATGAGTTGTCCTGAGGCTTATTGGAATTGATGGAGGAGATTTTTCAGATTATCTAATTCATCTCTATTACTTCTTAAGAATAAGAGAATATCATCAGCAAAAATAATATGAGAGATGATTGAGGCTTATCTAGACAGCTAGATACCTGTTAAGTGGTTTTCTATTTCAGCTTTCAAGATCATTCTAGTGAAACATTCCATGGCTAAAATGAACAAGTATGAAGATCAAGGATCTCCTTGCATAATCCCCCTAGTCGGTAGGACTTTCCCTTATGGGGAGCCATTTATAAGGACAAAATAGGAAATTGTAGAGATACATTTAGAGATGATTTGACAGAAATCCTGATTGAAGCCTAGAGCTTTGAGTATTTATACGAGAAAAAGCCATTCTAGGCAGTCATAGGCTTTGGCCATATCAAGTTTTATGGCTACAAAATTTGTTCCTCGTTTGTGATGTTTCAGAAAATGGAACATTTCATGAGCTACTAAGGTGTTATCTATCATTTGTTGACCTATAATAAAAGCAGATTGATGAGGGGAAATGCACTTGTCTAAAAGAGTATGGAGTCTATTTGCCACAATCTTGGACAAGATTTTGTAAAGTACATTACAAAGGCTGATGGGGCAGTAGTCAGTCACTGCAGTACAATTTGCCTTTTGGAGGGTAAGGCAAATAAAAGTATGATTAAGATGTTTCAGTAGTTTCTTGTTTTGGAAAATTTCCTTAAAGAATTCAATGATTTCAGGTCCCATATAATCCCAAAACCCTTTATAAACTAAAGCAGGAATCCCATGAGGTCCTGGGGATTTAAGGTTGCCTATACTGAAGAGAGCTGATTTGACTTCTTCCTTAGAAGGGATAGCTGTTAGACTATATTTTTCCTCTTCAGTAATAATGGGAGATAAAAGGTGGTTAATAAATGATAGATCAATAGGAGAGTCTTGAGTGAACAGCCTTGTTGGTTTTTTACTCCTTGAATTTCATTTACTCTCTGGCGGCATGTTGTACTTATATGGAAGTAATTAGTATTTCTCTCCTAAGTTCAGCCAGAGTTGTCTGGATCTCTGTCTCTAAAAACTGTCAATCTGAATTTGAATCTCGTCAATTTTTTTATATAAATTTAAAATCTTTTGATGATCCCAAGGACTAGTTTGTTCTGCTTGCACAGTTTGAGATTCAACATCTTTCAAATTAAGATAGGGATCTTTAAAGGTCGATTTCCTCCAATTGATGAGATTATGTTTTACTTTATCTAAATTTGAAGATATTCTAAAAGTTGCAAAACCATTAAAATGAGAGTTCTATCCATTTAAGATTTATGATTTGCAAGAGTCATCCGATAGCCACATCTCAAAGAATTTAAAAGGTTTTGGAAAACTAGTCTAGAGAGGAGACGAATTTAGGATAAGGGGATGATGATTAGAGCCCCACTTCGCAGAAATTGAAAAAGTGGCATTATGAAAAAAGAGGAGATCCAATCAGGGGAAGCTATAGCTCTATCTAAAGTTCTACAAATAAGACCAATTGAGAATTTGTTAGACCAACTAAGAATACCACCTTGAATATAAAGTTCAATTAGATTATGATCAAAAATGAGATTTCTGTATTGAGTAGATGAAAGGCGGCATGAACCACTAGAAGTAGAAGGGTGTTGGATGTTTATATTGTCCGCTTCATTAAAGTCTTTGATTTAATTGTAGCCAGAAATTGTTCCGATGAGCTTTAATCGAATGGCCATAAATAAAACCTAGAAGCCAATCACTATTTTGTTGGGTATAAGATACTTTTAGGAAGGCATACCTTGGGTGGCTCAAAAAGACAGAAGTATTTAAGTTGTTCTTCCAAAAGATGCCTAGTCATCTAGCTCGTCCTTCAGGCGACAGAAGAAAAGAGTTAGGATAACGAAAATGACGGGCCAAAAAGGACATTTTGTCAGAAGATATTTTAGTTTTAGAAAGGAAAATAAAATCTGGGTTATGGTTTTTAATTAGTACCCCCAGACCTTGAATTGCCTTGGGCCTTTCGGCTCCATGGCAGTTCTAGCTTAAAATCAACATTGGCGGTCCTGTGGCTGTTTTGGGCCAGCCACCACCTCCCTATTTAGAAAAGAAAGAAGAAGATAAAAGGAAGGACTAACCGAGTCAGAAGTACGATTCATCTGGCGCATATTCTAATCAGGAGTTGTTTCATCATTCTCATTGGCAGGAACAATGATCAGAATCCGTTCAATTTGATCACTTTGGGAAAGAGGACTCTAGGCGCTCATAGATAGGTATGTTAGTGGATTCTTCAATTTTCAGGTGTTGTAAAAGGTCAATCCGTGGGCGCTTACCTCTAGGGGAAGAGTGATCAGATGGATTGAGATCAAGGGCTTGAGACAAGATATTTTGGGTGTGTCGAGCAAACTAAAAAGTCTCAGGAGAAACCCCGATAGAGTTACTCGATGAAGGAGTAAAGGTGGGCACAAACTAGTTAAAAGAGT